TGAACGCAATATAGAAGAGGTAAAAGAAAGAAGACATCCTAACCTGAATCCAAAAGTAGAAAGGCGAATTATAAATGCAGTGACTGCTGCACCACTATTCATGCCGAATGCTTACTTGGGGCAGACATTTACTTGAGATCTGGTCAAACGATAAAATATGGCGTTTCTTACAACTACGATCTGAGCCGTGTAGATGTTCAGATTATTCTCAACAATTCTCTCTCCAGACCAATTTGCAAAGTATGCCACTGTCGATGTCCATTCCCAATATATTTCAAATCGCAGAGCGGATACTATTGTTCTTCGCTTTGTATAGAAAGGTTGATATACAACAGCAATGAGAGGTATTGGAGGAGTAGATAACTTGCGAGCAAATGTGTGAATCTCACCATCCAAGTTATCCCTTTTTCTTTGTTAGGTTTGTGAGATATATGTTCTATTTTCTTTGTGTTGTTTGAACTCGGGGTTTGGTAATTTTATCATAGCATTTTATAGCACGTTAGTTGAGTTTATGTATTAAATTATTGTGATAATAAATTTAAATGTTTGAAAATTTTGTAAATTCTACAAGTTTTTACGTTATATCATATATTTTCAGATTTCAGAAATTATTAAAAACGTTTATCACTAAAAATAAAAATACAAAAACTTATGATTAAACCAAATTAAATGTTTTGCCTCCAAAAGAGATTGATCCGGCAAAGAAGCACTGCAAAATTCATGGAAGCATAAATTTTAAAAACAATTTCAGTCCACCCACTCAACATAAACACAAACGCTAATGGAGTTAGACGAAGTGAAGATGATATCGTTGTTCTTTTCCAAATCTGTTGTTCGATATGAGAGTGTGAAAGCAAAGACGAAGAAGCCGAATTTACCAAAACTCCTAGCACTAGAAACCTTTCATTGGAGGCCCAAGATTGAGCTGTCAACAGTAAAGTCCGCAAAGCCCTCGATTACATACTCCTCCCATGTCATGTACGAGTAACTCGTTGAACAATTCCATGAGCTATCACAAAAAGAAACTTCACAAACCAAATTTTGCGAACGGTGTTAGCTCACTCTACCAATTAAGTTCCTTCCGAAGTCGGCTAGCAGAACTGAATTTAACTACTGAAAACAACACAGAACGCCATTAGCCTTACTAGCTCCTCTAACGCACAACACTAAAGTAAACATAGCAAAAACGTTCAGCAACGCAAAGGCCTCAACTACATATAGTATGGATGTATATCTTCTCCAGTACTATATTTTTTTTTCTTTGAAAAAAGAATTAGGATATTTGAATTTAAGCTTTTAACGTCTTTGCAACTAACAAAAAAATTGTGTTATCATTTATGCAGGCTTCTCAGGCAACCATCAAAGAGAGTGTGCTCTGCTCTCCCGGCCCATTCATTTGATATGGGAGCCTATATATAGTGGAGCTCTATCGTCTTTGGTGATCATATCCTTAATGATACCCTTAGCCTGTTTACTGTTCTAATCTTCTAGTATATGGTTATAGGCTTATAGCAGCAGAAATTTGAATATCTTTCCAACTGTATAAATTAAATTATATTTTTTGTTAAAAGTTGAAGAAAATGTATAAATTATAATTACGTTTACCAAGTAAGAGTTTTTTTTTTTTCCGTTAATGTTACAATTAACATTGTCCTACGTGAATTCTGGACATGTTCCCGTCTTCAACGACTTTAGAAGAACAACATGTCAATAGAAAAAGACCGTACAGATCTAGAGTGAAAACAATATTTCACGACTTTCTATAACAATGAATATAAAAAGACCAAAAATAATATTACATTATATAACATCCAAAAATATTAACATATAAACCAATTTAGCTGTATTTGAATGGATTTTACAATACAATATAATATAATATACAAAGAATATAACCAAAGTTACTTCTATTTTGATTGATCACAAAAGAAATAAATTGTTGTGAAGACAAAGGTTTGAAGTTGGCATTTTTTTTTGGTCAACAAGCGTTGCGTTTGCGTTTGCGTTTGCGTTTTGAATGATAGTCAAACGAAAACGATATTAATGCAAATTAACTACCAAGTTATATGTCATACTCAATTGAGTTATGTATATATTTTTTGTTTAGAGTTGAATTTATTTAATAAAAGGTTAATTATATGTTTTCCAAGTGGACAAGTGGTACTTCTTTACATTTTTTTAATTTCATTTAATATTTTCTTCACAATATTGATTGCAACTTTTTTTTTGACAATTTGTTAACTGGTAGACCACCCGCAGTGGTGTAAGTGTGAAGGAGGGGTGTAAGATTTTTTTTATTATTATAATTTAAAGTGAGAGAGAAAAGAGAGAGAAAAAGAAAGAGAGAGATAGAGTGGCTTACACCCGAGTGTAAACTTACACCCGGGTGTGAAGAGAGAGACAACTTTTACATTATTTCTGTATTTTAAAATAGATACACCCCACGCAAGAATACACCACTGTGGATGCCCTTAGGAATCTCGGCGAGTTTAAAATAGATAAAAGACGTGCTCAATAATAATCCAATAGTTGGTAATAAATTTCAAGTTGGAAAACGTAGTGGTGGACAGACAAGTAAGAGCACTTCCATTCCAATGGAGGTTTTTCAAAGAGTGTCTAAAAAATTAAAAAAAGAAAAATAATTAAAAGTAAGAGAGAGAATGAGACACAGTGTCTCATTTGAGAAACTCTGAGTCACTGTCTAATACTTGCCATCATTTGATTGGTTAAAGTTTTTTTAATCAATTAAAATTTAAATAAAAAATTTATTTATTACAAAAACATTAAATTATTATATTTGAGAAACTTTTAGATTTAGTTTATAGTTTATAGTTTATAGTTTATAAACTTTTAAACATTAATTTATAGTTTCTCACCGTTGGAGATGCTCTAATGATCAAGATGAGATGCTATGGGACATATTTTATAAAATTATATTTTTGTTCTAGTTTAAATTTGTAATGCAATTTTTTGTTAACGTCCTAATTAGTCCATTTAAACAAACCTTGATTATTTTATAAACTGGCAACAAAAATCTTGACGTAAATTTTTTTCAATGTATTACAAAATCCAGTCATTTGAGTTTTTGTTTTGTTTTGTTTTGTCCTCATCCAGTCATTTGATTTAAAAAAACCAACATTGTAACTAAACTTGATGTCGTAACTCTTAAAAACGATAGACTATATATTCAATCGTTTTAAACTTAAGAAAGGATAGAACAATTTTTTTCACCTAATTCTAGGGTTTGTGATTTAGAGAAATTTGGAGGATTTGAAACAATAGATCAAGGTTTTAGGTTTATTTTTTAATATGTGTTTTGAAATTTGTTAAAACCAAAACTTAAATTGTTTACGTCGAGGATTATGTTGCTGGTTTTATTAAATGATCGAGGTTTGTTTTACAGTTTTTTTACTTTGAAATTGATCTTGCATTTTTTTTGGTAACTTGGAGGGTTTGCATTATATAAGATATCAAAACCAATAACAATTTTATAACAAAGAATATAAAAAGACCAAGTTTAGCTGTATAATGAAAATAAAATATATAAAAAAGAACAGCTATTCGAAACCAATAACAATTTTATAACAAAGAATATAAAAAGACCAAGTTTAGCTGTATTCTCAAGTTTTATATTTAAATGACCAGGTAATAATATTACCGTAATATATATGTGCAATGGGTGAGAAGGGGAAGAAGAATATCAGAAACTAAAAAATCCAAATTCCCATTTGAGCAGCCATGAGTTCGGTTGGTGTATTTCGTAAGAAGGAAATGGATGGAAAATATTATTGGGTATTCACATTAGCAGGAACAAAAAACCCAACCTCCTCACTAGCCATAAATTCTGACGGCGACGACCTCCCTCTTCAACCTCTTTTTTTCTGTCCTGCTGCCCGTATCAAATTTCAGAAGCTCAAACTAACGGAGGAGGATAAGGAGAAGTTTCGGCCATTTAATTCTTCTTCTCATTTCCCCAGCACAAGAAGCCGTGATCAACAAGGCCGATCTTTGCTTGATTGCGACCAACATGATATCTGTAAGCTCCCTGTAGTCCCTCTTTTTTGGTGCAACAATAAAGCTGATGAACTTCGTCCTTACCAATTCCATTGCGGTGCATGCGACAAAACAGAGCCCAGCACAAACTATTTTGCATGTCTCCAGTGTCAAAACAAATTCCACAAAGAATGCGTTGAGTCTCCACTTGAAATCAAACACCCTTCCCACCCCTTTCACTCTCTTCGACTTTATAGTTACAACTATTATAAGACGTGCATTTGTTGTGAAAATTCTATCAGTATGGACAAACTTTATCATTGTACCACCTGCGATTTGAGTATGCATACGGTCTGTGCGATGAGGTCAATACCCTTTGTTGTCGACCATCCAAAAAGCCATCCCCATCCTCTTACCTTTTTCCCTGCACAAGCTTCTTTAGTTTGCAGTTTCTGTGCAATGGTTAAGAAGAATGATCCCACATACATCTGTATCGAATGTGTTTTCGTGATCCATAAAAGCTGTATGGGTTTCCCACATGTCATAAGAATATCCCGTCACCACCACCGTATCTCTTTTACCTCTTCTCTTCCATCTGGAAAGCTGTCTTGCAGCGCCTGTCATCAACGAGTTGACAACGATTATGGGGCATACGCTTGCAATAAATGTGATGCTTATTTTGTTCATTCAAAATGTGCATTAAATCGAAAGGTGTGGGATGGTAAAGATCTCAAAGACGTACCAGAAGAAGATGATATGATAGATGACGGTGAGCCGTTCGAGAGGATAGCTGATGGAATAATACTCCATCCTTTTCATAGTCACCGACTACGACTTGAGATCTTCGGAACTTATGAGGAAAATAAGTATTGTCAAGGGTGTGCCCTTCCAATCTACGAAGGTCAATTCTATTCAATTCATGCTTGGAATGCCACTATATCCTCCATGAAAGCTGCGCAAAAGCTCCACGCATGAAACGATATCCCTTATATCCACATCCACTTACACTAAACGCCGCCGACATCGGATTTAATGTCACAGGTGACTTTCGTTGTAGTGAATGTGGGCGTGAGGGTAATGGCTTTTACTATGAGTGTTGCAAAGAGGCAAGAATCTTCCAGCTAGACATACGGTGTGCCTCGATTGTCGAACCATTTGACTATCAAGGCCACGAACATCCCTTATTCTTACCTTGGTACACAGAGGAAAAGACACCATGTCAAATGTGCAAATACGAAAGCTACGAGTCAAAGTTAAATTGCCTGGAATGCGATTATTCTATATGTTTTCGTTGTGCAACATTCCCATACAAGGCAAGGTATAAGCATGACAGTCATTTTCTCACAATCTGCGATGGGAAAGAGGCAAGTGATCAACCAGACTGGTGTGACGTTTGCGAATGCAAAATAGAAGAAATAAAAGAGCCTGATGGGTATTATGGGAGAAATAAAAAAACAGAAATACGATTTTATGAATGCAATGACTGCTGCACCACTCTTCATGTCGATTGTTTATTAGGGGGAGACATGTACTTGAAACCTGGTGAAACAGAAACCGATTACCTCTCTCTTCACCTGCACTCAATAGAAGATGAAGATTGGGAGTGGATGAATATCCGGGTTCTCCTCAACAGTTCCCTCTCCCGACCAATTTGCACTGGATGCATGCGCCGTTGTCCATTCCCTATATTTTTGATGATGAAAGGGGACGGCACACTATACTGTTCACTGGATTGTTTTTTACGGGAAACAAATTATAAAGCCACAATCAACTACTAACAATATAAATGAAAATTAAATCGTTGTCAGATGGCTTTAATATTACTAGCTTTTACTATGTTTTAGAATTCTGTTAAATTAGACTGCGATGCTGATGTTGGAGTTTCTACTAAATTAAAAAAGAGTATAAAATGAAATTTCTTTGTTGGAGTTTTGATCATTTTCCATTGAAATTCTTGATTGGCTCTCTCCACCTCCTTTGAGTTCTCTTTGTATCCAACAAGACACATTGTCTTCGTATATGTTTCTTTTCTCCTGTCCCGTAAGGTTTTGGTTTTCTTCAAAGGACATGCACCAAGCCAAGAGGAGTGAGAATGATCAATCTTACCAATCTCATCATACTCCATATTGATCTGGTTCAGGAACAATAAGCAATTCCTCAAATTCAAAACAATGAAAGTCACTTCTAGATGACCCAAGCTAGAAACAATATCTATTCCCCTGAATCCTCAAAAACAAGTCTTGTGCACTTCATGACTAGTCCACATAGCTCATTCTCATCAAAAGAGAGAAGTTAGACTGTGATGCTGATGCTGAAAATTTTAAAATATTATTACACATAACGATATAGAAGTAATCCAACACCAGTGTGACCTTTCCATATTTCTCTTGCCTCTTTCGTTTTTTCTTTTCTTTACATTTAATGGATATGATACAAAAATTTGATAAATGAGAACCTCAAAATACAGAGATTCAAAAAATGTATCTGATCTGATTACATCTGTTTATCACACGATTATTTGATGGGTTGTGTAGTAATATTGATCAGATAAAGTAATATTCCTCTCAGCTTTTGTCATGTGAGCTCAGTGTAAAGTTGATGTTGTCTGATATAATCTATTACTCCATCTTCAGTCAAGTACTTAACCGATAACCCTCGTGAAATGCATTGCCTGAAAGAAGCAGAGGAATGAACAAGATAATTCATTTTTTAGTGTAGATAAAATGTTCTTAGAGAAGGATAAATCTCACAATACCTTAATCTACACGAACTGATCTGATTAGGAACAATATTGTCAACGATTTTTATGTTACCCTGCGAAAGAAACCGAGGTAGCACCATTCAGTAAAACCCCGTGTACAGTCACAGACTGATACAGCAGAATCAGAAAAGAAACCTGGTAATACTTACATGGTTTTCGTTTAAGATTGTGTCGCCAGAGATCATATTTTCAACATCCTGTCCTTCTCTACGGATGCAGACAATGCCATAGTCGTTACAAATAGTTCTTACCTTCAAAAACCCAATATTTAAAAAGAGCATAACTGTGAGGGAGTAGAACCAACAACACAAATCTCCGTTTATATAACGATGCTGCCTTGGTTTACCTGTTCAGGGATCCAAACACCGGGAATGCAGAAAGATTGCAGTAAATCCGAGCCACATACAAGCATGACTTTGAGAGATTCTAGCAAAATAAACCACATACTATAAATTTGAGTTTGTAATCTGCGTAGTAGCTAGCATGTGTGATGAAACATAGCAACTCCATGGAGACGATCCAGCAATTACCAAAAAATATAAGAGGGATAAACTATGAGTAGAAAGATACTTAAGGCCACATAGGACATTTTTTTGCAGTTATCTTACCCTCGGGTACACGTCGAATTGTTGTTAAGAAAGTCTTGACCCTTGATAAAACCGCCAAAGTTCGTTGGTAGCTGCTTTGAGATGCCTGTAATAACAGCTTCCACAATTTTGTAAATAACGCCTTTGTTCACCTAAAGAGAGATTCTTAAAAGCTTTTCGAGGGATGATAAAGTACCTCCCACGGATCAACCATTACAAAGTCAGAGCTATGACAGGCCAGATTACACATCTCTAAACGATGTTCTGCAGATAAAAGGCCCTACACAGAATCTGATGATTATATTATTTCTAAAGGAAACAGAAGAACTTTGGGAGCTAGAAAGAAAAAAGAAGCTCTACTAAGATTCTCAAGATGCCAAAAATTGTTATACCTTCTTCTTATATGCATCATTAACAGGAGACATATAGCCTCCAAGAACATGAAATCCTTTTGAGTGTAATTCATCTCTCGCCAGCTCTAACGACGAAAAAAAACAGAGAACTTCTCAGTTTGATGTAAAAGAAACATATACATTTGAACAAAAGGTCGCAGCAAGATCTTTGGACAAGTATCAACAGTTTAAAACTTTGGTTTGACATGAATAATCCAGAAACCTTTAAGTTCTGCAGTTCTTTCTTGTCATATACCGGTTTTTTAAACCAAAATATACAAACACTGGTCATTATGCCTCAAATTGTCAGAATTTTCGGAATGATCGAATCTGAAACGCCATTGATAAACATAGAAAAAATTGAATTCTATAAATACTCCGGTAAAATCTCACCAAACATGCGTAAATGCATGAAAGTTGGAGGATTGAAACTCCCAGTTGCCACAAGCACTACACAAGTTTTGTCCCTGATTCAGACAAACAATCGAAAAAATTCAACACCCAGAAATTTACAGTAAACCTGCTGATAATCTCATCATCATTAAGTAACCAAGCAGATCATATTTACAAAATCGGAATTTTCATAAAAATACAAACGAAGGGAATCAAAATCGAGAATAAGCTTCGAAACTGTTGACCAAAAGAAAAAAAAAAACAGCTTCGAGATTTACTCAGGGTTTGATTCATAAGATAATTTCTCGACTGGTAAGGGGACATCCATTGAACTCCGATGATCGAATCTGAGTCTCGATTGAGATCACGCCGGCGAATGATCAGGGAGAGCGAAAAAAGACGACGACGGCGACAATATAAAATATAGAGTGAAACGACACCGTGTAAAAGGTTTTGTTAAAACGTAGCGTTTTACAGATAACGAGAAGATAGATGCTACGACACCGTTTAAATCAAAACGCACCGTTCAAGTAGTGAGGGTTAAAACTTAAAAGCTAAAAAAAGGATCATTCTATTTTTTTCAGTGAAATCGAAAGCGAAAATGAAATCTTTATCCCCAAAATTTTGAAATTCAAATCCGCGCTTAACAGTCTCTCTCTCTCTCTCGCTCTATCTCTAGAGTAGGTCGTTGGCGATGTTTTCCGGCAGGGAGAATCCGAGGGGGATGGCGAATGTGAAGATGGAGAATCATTTCGTTCAGATCTTTGAGAGGAAGAGGCGAATCGTCGAGCAGGTCAAGCAACAAGTAGATCTCTATGACCACCATTTAGCCTCCAAATGCCTACTTGCCGGAGTATCTCCTCCGTCGTGGCTCTGGTCTCCGTCTCTACCTTCCCAAACCTCCGGTAGTTGTTGAATCTGATTTTAGTGCTCTATTTGTTTTGACATAGTGCTCAATTTCTTGTCCGTGATGGTATATGTAGATTTGTTTGGCTAATTGGAGCAAAATTGATAGTAGTTTTTGGTTTTACGGATCATTATTCTTAGATTTCTTCTTTTCTTCAATGCAATTTTAGTCAATATTGATGCTGCGAAGTTGTTTGATGTCGAACTACTGTGAGGAGATGGATTGAGAGATTAGAAATGGTGTTAGGTTTTCATAAGCATAAATGATGTTGAATGGAAGAGTTTCTGTTTGCGATTCTTATTGTGATATATGTTTGTAATGTATACAGAGTTGAATAAGGAGGAGATTATATCAGAACTTCTATTTCCTCCATCCAGACCTTCCATCATTTGTCCTAGCAATCGGCCCTTTTCATATCAACGGCCTGTCAGTTTTCTAGCTGACAATGTAGTAAGACAAGACCTGACGTCTATGGTAAATAACCCGCTAGAAGAGCAGTTGCTTGAAGAGGAACTTCAACACGACCTCTCACACAACTTAGTCAGACGGGTTTCAAATCATTCTCACGAGCAGGGTGCTAATATTGCATCTCCTAGAGATGTCCATGAGAAAGAGAGACTGCCAGAAAGTGTCTCAATCGGTTGCAAAGAGAATCAAAGTTGTCCATCTCTCGAATACTCCCAGAATCAGAGAGTTGAAACTAATCTTGACGCTACATCTCCTGGATGTAGCCTAGGAAAAAGGGTTCCCAAAAGTGTCTCAACTACTGGTTGTAAGCGGAAACCATCACCTCTCGGTTATTTTCAAGATGAAACTGAACCAGACACTAGCCTTGACCCTGGATTATCACTTGCTAAGATGCAGAGATCAAGGTCACGTCAAAAAGCTTTGGAGCTTCGTAGTAGTGCCAAAGCGTCGAAAAGCCGTTCAAACAGTAGAAATGATCTCAAACCTTCTCCGGGTGGAGATATAGGCTTTGGGATTGCTTCTTTAAGTTCTGATAGTGTTAGTGAGATAAAGTTATTTAAGCATGATGAGAATGATGAAGAATGTCGAGACAACGTAGAGAACAGTAATTCTCAAGGTAAAGGAGGGGATCGTAGTAGTGCCAAAGCGTTAAAAAGCCGTTCAAATAGTAGAAATGAGCTCAAACCTTCTCCGGGTGGAGATGTAGGCTTTGGGATTGGTTCTTTAAGGTCTGATAGTGTGAGTGAGATAAAGTTATTTAAGCATGATGAGAATGATGAAGAGTGTCAAGGCGAAGTGGAGAACAGTAATTCTCAAGGTAAAGGAGGGGATCAGTGTATTAAACGTAGTTTAACTACAGAGTCTCTTACCTTGCATCAGAAAGTGGCTTCGGTGCAAAAATCTTCGAGTGGGGATTCTTATGCTTCTATTGTACCAGAATCTCTACTCGATTCTGGTCATGCGAAAGACATTGATATATTACAGTCCATTGAGACACTTGATGAAGTATCTGCCAAAGTAGATGAGCAAGTGGATGATCCCAAAAGCAGAAGTTGCAAGGAAACAGCTAATCTCAACGGAAGTACAAGATCTAAAAGCTCAAGTCAAGGTATCTCCAAGAGGAAACATCAAAAATCAAGCAACTCCTTTTCTGGTAACTTTCCATCAATAAGTTCAAATCCCTCTCACTGGGCTGATCATGAAGTAGAATTACCCCAAGTAATACCTATGACTAATGAAGTTTCTATGGTGACAGATGCTGGAACGAGCATCTTTCACTCTGAAATCATTTCAAGATCCAGAAGTAATGCTCGAGAAAATAGATCCAAGATCGAGCATTCAGGCTCTGTTGAGTCTTCTGCAATTGACGTGGAGCCAAGAGATTCAGTTTCAGTACTGCAAGGTAGCCATGTAAAAGATTCACTGAATCCCTCTACTGTTGATGTTGAAGGTTTAGTAGTTATTACTAGCAACGATCAATCAGAAGAAAAGGGTGAATATGTTGACACTAACAGATGTTCAAGTGCTGAAAGGGAAAGCCAAACTGGTATCTCCCCAGATGAGACCTTATGTGTGGGTGCAATCCAAGACTCTATATCCAAGACCAAGATTTTGGGCTTTGTTGAGTCGTCTTCAGTTGAACCGCAGTCTAGACACTCAGTAATGCAATCAGACGATGAAAGTGTATTTTTGAAGCCTATTGCTGTTACTGGTGAAGCTTTATTAGTGGAGGAAGATAAAAATGGTGTATCGATTGAAATTAGCAGTATTTCAAATTCTAGAAGCTTAAACCAAACAGACATCACGGTAGTTGAGCCATTGGTGGTTGAAGCTATTCTTCAGGAAAGCGGTATGCCGGCAAACTTGATTGACTATTCTAAAAGATGTGATATTAGTTGTGGGTTCAAGGAAGTGCAGCCACTGGGTTCATTGACCCAAGCTGGGAGTAGCCAATGCCATGAGAGAATTAGTAGGCCAAGAAGCTCAGCCATAGAAGAGAAATCAGCAAATGAATATAAGGCTCTTTCTATTGGCTCTGATCATAAATCGGCTGACAAACAGCTTGAAGTTAGAGAAGGGAATTCATCGCTGAGAACCCCTGATCGCCCTGTTTTTGTGAAGCCTGAATCACCCCATTTTGATGATAATGAAGAACACAACTTCGATGAGGTTCCAGTGAATAGTCGAGAAAAATCAATGATGGAGAAGGTCCCCACACCATCACCCGCTGCAAGGGTATTTGATGTCCCATCTCTCACTGAATCTGGAGTAAATCTCTCGGCAGACAATGAAATTGAGGATCACAATGGGTTAAAAATAGAAATGGTACCAGAAATGGAATCGCATGCAAGCCACTCTGGCTTAAAAGTGGGAGAGAATGAACCTACAGAGTCAAATACATTCACTGGCCATATAGATGCGTTGAAAAAGAGATCTCAACATGAAACATCCTTTCAAAAAGGTGTTCCCCCAGTTAAAAGAGATGTAACTTGTACAGAAACAGATGAGTCTCATGATCCAAAGAGCTCTATTCAGATATTTTTCTGCTCTAGTTCCTCCATGGGGGGTTCCAGGCGGCAGAATAAGCGGAGAAGAACCCTGGAAAAACCAACTAGTAGAGTGCTTTCGTCTAGCCCAGGGGTGAAAATTCTATCCCTATGTCTTGGGACAGCTCAATATATGAGAGTCTTGAACTGCTCCTTCCTTCCAAATGTAATTAAGATGCTTTTTGAATCATGGGATTTTATATGTGCAGGGAGACATTCTCGAGCTAGATTCTGTTTGGGATACAGTACATCATAAGGAAGAAGCCGCATGTCCCAACCTCGATAACTATGACGTTGAGTTACAGAAGATGCTAGGATCTGCATCTTCAGATCACTATGGTGTTGAGTTACAAAAGATGATCGGATCCACATCTTCAGCTGACTTACGATTTGAAGAGGTATGTGCATTATTTCGATGTCTTCTCAAGTTAAATGTCTTCTAAATATTAATCTCTTTCCCTTGAAAAATACGTTTTAACCGCTCAAGTTAAAAAAAAAGATATCTTCATTCCATGCTCCAAAAGCGAATTAGACAATTATACTTCAACTAAAAGCTGTACTATTGTGTTTAATTAATGAGAAAATCTCATTCTAGGCCTAAGTGTCGTAGTATTAAGCACCTCTCATGCTACACATGTATATATCAAGCTCCATAAAAATTATCGGCCAAAATTTGAAATCTTAATTATGTCTAAAATTAGTAATGCTCTCCAAGACCAAGAGATTAAACTGCAGTACAGCTCAAGCTCTTAATCCCAAAATAATTTCTCTTGTTCTGTATGATGTGCAATTAACCAGAAAAATGGATGTTTACAGAGTTACTTATTCAAGGAAGCTGGATTGATGAGCCCTGCCTCACTTTCCTTCAGAACAGAACAGCCAAGTGTACAGAAGAGCCAAATTGCTCCAGATCACGGAGTTGGATCAGAAAAGATGAACTTTTTGCCATATGCTGGAGAAACCTCACATGGATTAGCTAGTTGCATTGTTCACGATTCAGATGATTCTCCTTGTTTTTCACCCTTGGGTTTGATAAGCTCAGATGATGGAAGCCCCCCTGTTTTGGAGGGCTTTATAATCCAAACGGATGATGAAAATCAAAGCGGCTCCAAAAACCAGTTAAATCATGACAGCTTCCAACTTCCGAGGACTACAGCAGAAAGTGCAGCAATGATAGAGCAGATTTGCAAGTCTGCTTGCATGAACACTCCATCATTACAGCTGGCTAAAACATTTAAGTTGGATGGAAAACTAGACTTGGATCAGTCCATTTCAAACGAGCTGTTTGATGGCATGTTTTTCAGTCAGAATCTCGAGGGTAGCTCTGTCTTTGATAACTTGGGGATTAACCATGATTATACAGGAAGATCGTACACTGACTCCCTGCCTCTGTTTGGTGCTGGCTCATCTGCTGAGACTAGGAATCCTTGCACGTCACCAACTGAGAAGTTGTGGTATAGAAGTTTGCAAAAGTCTTCCAGTTCAGAGAAACGAAGCAGTCAGACACCAGACCTACCTTGCATTAGCGAAGAGAATGAGAATGTAGAAGAGGAGGCTGAGAACTTATGTATGAACACTCCAAAGTCTAGGAGGTTGGAGAAGCGAGGAAGCTCAATTCCGGACCTTCCTTGCATAGCTGAGGAGAATGAAAACATAGATGAGATATCTGAAGCTGTCAATGAAGGATCTGGGTTTGAAAGGGAAAATGTCTCTGCTGAAAGGAAACCTCATGGTGATGATAATGAAGACCCTATGAAGTTTCTTCCATCTGTTTCTGAAGCCAAGATTTCTGTTGATAGACAGAGTCTAGACTCTGTCAATACTGCATTCAGCTTTTCCGCTAAGTGCAACAGTGTCAAAAGTAAAGTGGGAAAGCTGAGTAACCGAAGATTCACGGGTAAAGGTAAAGAGAACCAAGGTGGAGCAGGTGCTAGAAGAAATGTTAAACCGCCTAGTAGCAGGTTCAGTAAGCCTAAGTTGTCTTGCAACTCGAGTTTGACAACTGTAGGTCCACGATTACCAGAAAAAGAACCTAGGCACAACAACATTGTCTCAAACATCACTTCGTTCGTTCCACTTGTGCAGCAGCAAAAACCAGCGCCTGCACTAATTACAGGTAATTGTTTTCTCTTTCCAGTATAAAGCTTTTGAAATTTCCAATTAATTGGAGGTATCATTTTACCATCTTGCTCTACTTATACATCTAATTTGACCCCATCTACGTTTCCCCCAGGCAAGAGGGATGTCAAAGTAAAGGCCCTGGAGGCTGCTGAGGCTTCAAAACGTATTGCTGAACAGAAAGAGAATGATCGTAAAATGAAGAAGGAAGCTATGAAGCTTGAACGGGCAAGACAGGAACAGGAAAATCTGAGAAAACAGGAGATAGAGAAGAAAAAGAAAGAAGAAGATCGAAAGAAAAAGGAGGCGGAAATGGCTTGGAAGCAAGAGATGGAAAAGAAAAAGAAGGAAGAAGAGCGGAAAAGAAAGGAGTTTGAAATGGCTGATAGGAAAAGGCAGAGGGAAGAAGAAGACAAAAAGTTGAAGGAAGCTAAAAGACAACGCATTGCAGAAATTCAGAGACAACAAAGAGAGGCTGATGAAAAATTACAAGCTGAAAAAGAATTGAAAAGACAAGCTATGGTAAAAGAGAGCGCTCCTCTTGTTCTGTTCTTAGAAACTTTGTTTGACTATTGTGATGTGGGAGTTTTGCTAAATCAAAAATGAAATTTTAGGAGGCGAGGACTAAAGCACAGAAGGTACTCAAAGCAGACCAAAGTAATGCTGAGAAAATCCGAGGACAAGCGAGATCAAAGAGTTATTCCAGTGATGATACCAATGCTTCAAGAAGCTCTAGAGATACTGACTTCAAGGTACAAGTCTCTCATCTTTTGAGGGCACTTTAGAGATGAAACCAATCTTAATAGATGACAATTGTTGTGCTTATAGGTGATAAGCAATCCAGGGAACATGTCTGAAGAACACAACATGGGGATTGAAGAAATGGAAGAGTCGTACAACATCTCTCCATACAAATGCTCGGATGACGAAGATGAAGAGGAAGACGACATGTCAAACAAAAAATTTGTTCCTACTTGGGCCAGGTTTTGTTTCTGAATTGCTCTCTCATTCGTTAATGTTCATCTCTCATTAGTCATTACCATTTGTTTACCCCAACGCTTCTTATTTATACAGCAAGAGCAATGTCCGGCTCGCTGTCATTTCCCAACAAAATCTTGATCCCAATATTATTTTCCCTGCAAAAAACGTCTGCGATGTAAGTAAAGGTAAGATCTCTCGATTACACTTTATATGAAAAAAAATTCATAGTTTTAGCCATACTTATGGATAAGTATTGTTTTGAATCTCTCAGTTCTTTTGCCGCGAAAGTTCCAATCGAGATAACATAAACTAGGAGAAGCCAAAGGTCAGATTCTCAGTGACATTAAAACCACAAAAACAAAGTAAGTATCTATGTGTTTTAAGTTTCTTCTTATCTTTTGCTGGAAATGAGGAACATAAATCTTACTAGCTTTAAGCTTAAGATTCCTTTTTGCTTTCTTATGTATCAGTGAATGGGTAATGTAATAATTAACTAGTCATCCCCACATTGACGCTCATGTTCATATATAACGGCTACTTCTATTTTATATATATTCATAGGTTCAGTTGATTTTCCTAGTGGAAAGAGCCAGGTGCTGAAAGCAAGAGATTTGTTCCTTTTCAATGTCGATTTCATTAAAATAACTTTTTGGATCACGATCGCTAAATAATACTCCCTCCGTTTCGTTTTTGTTGTCGTTTAAGGTTTTTTCACACAAATTAAGAAAAATATTAAATTTTCAGTTTTACTTCTATTAATATATTTTATAAAAAAATTCATTGGCCGAAACATTAAAACAGTAGGGATAAAACTGGAATTTTCACCAAACATTTGCATCGAAAACCTAAAAGGACAACTATTATGAAACAAAATTTTAACTCTAAAACGACAAGTAAAACGAAACGGAGGGAGTATTTGATTACTGTCGAATTTAGAGCTTAAATAAAAGTAGTCTCAAATCACAACTGTAGTATATAATTTGGGTTTGTGACTCTTAGCACTAACTAACTGTTGCACAAAGGGTTCAAAAATGCTGTTAACTTGTAAAATATGTTTGTCGAGATACACTTGTGATCCAAGATGAATTGTACAAAGGTTGAAAATGTGATCAATAGAGTTTGTAATTGTATAATCACAGAAACACTTGTTAATTTCAGGTTCTGTGTCTGTCTGTTATAAGAGTAATCCTAATACTGAATGCATTGTGAGCTATGAACAGTAAATAGTCAACCATAGTGAGTGAGTCAAAATTGAGTTATTATTATTATAGACAGAGTCACGGATACATAATTAAATGAAGTAAAAGATAAAAACAATTATTCCATCAAACTCTCTCTATTCACGTGGTGGCGCTATATAGATTCCATTAAAACGGTCAGTTTTGATTTTAGCGTCCATTTACCAGACCCCACCCGACCCGCTCCACCACTTTTGTTCCCACACTTAAACGACATCGTATCTTCACCACCCTTAATAACCGTTGCCACACACAAATTACTATAATACCCTCACCTTCTTCATAATCAATTCGAATCCATTTTCCCACCACAGTTATACCAAAACTCTCTCTTCTCTCTCTCTAATGTCTCTTTCAAGAAAGCTTCTTGTTCTCTTCTTCACATGGATAACAGCTCTATCCATGGCGAAACCAATCTTCGTATCATCCGATAACGTGAATTTCACATTCAAATCCTTCACGATTCGTAACCTCACTTTCCTCGGCGATTCACATCTCCGAAACGGCGTCGTTGGTCTCACGAGAGAGCTTGGTGTTCCCGATACAAGCTCCGGTACAGTAATCTACAACACTCCGATCCGTTTTTACGATCCTGATTCAAACACCACGGCGTCTTTCTCCACTCACTTCTCCTTCTCCGTTCAAAACTTAAACCCAGATCCAACCTCCGCCGGTGACGGACTCGCTTTCTTCCTCTCTCATGACAACGATACTTTAGGAAGTCCCGGTGGTTACTTAGGTCTCGTTAATTCCTCTCAGCCGATGAAGAATCGATTCGTCGCTATCGAATTCGATACTAAATTGGATCCACATTTCAACGATCCAAGTGGTAATCACGTTGGTTTAGATGTTGATAGTTTGAACTCAATCGCAACTTCAGATCCTTCGAATTCGTCTCAGATTGATCTTAAATCTGGTAAATCGATCACTTCTTGGATCGATTACAAGAACGATTTACGTTTATTGAATGTGTTCTTGAGTTATACAGATCCAATCGCAATCACGAAGAAGCCAGAGAAGCCTCTTTTATCAGTGAAGATCGATCTTTCTCCGTTCTTGAACGGTGAAATGTATGTAGGATTCTCAGGTTCAACAGAAGGAAGCACAGAGATTCATCTGATTGAGAATTGGAGTTTCAAGACTTCTGGGTTTCTTCCGGTGAGATCGAAATCTAATCATCTTCACAACGTTTCAGATAGTTCTGTGAATGATGATCCTGTGGCTATACCGAGTAAGAAGCGGAAGCATCGACACAATCTTGCTATTGGACTTGGTATTTCTTGTCCGGTGTTCTTCTGTTTAGCTCTCTTGGTGTTTGGGTACTTCACTTTGAAGAAATGGAAAAGTGTGAAAGCAGAGAAGGAGCTTAAGACTGAGCTTATCACAGGTTTAAGAGAGTTCAGCTATAAAGAGCTTTACACAGCTACAAAAGGGTTTCATTCGAGTAGAGTCATTGGAAGAGGAGCGTTTGGGAATGTTTACAGAGCAATGTTTGTTTCCTCTGGGACGATCTCTGCTGTGAAAAGATCGAGACATAATTCAACCGAAGGTAAAACAGAGTTTTTGGCAGAGTTATCGATCATTGCTTGCTTGCGGCACAAGAATCTTGTTCAGTTGCAGGGTTGGTGTAACGAGAAAGGTGAATTGCTTCTTGTCTATGAGTTCATGCCTAATGGAAGTCTTGATAAGATTCTGTATCAAGAGTCAGAAACAGGAGCTGTGGCTCTTGACTGGTCACATAGGCTGAATATAGCGATTGGTTTGGCTTCAGCTTTGTCTTATCTTCACCATGAATGTGAGCAGCAAGTGGTTCACAGAGATGTTAAGACGAGCAACATAATGCTTGACATAAACTTCAATGCAAGGCTTGGCGATTTCGGTCTAGCTAGACTCACAGAGCACGATAAGAGCCCTGTCTCAACCTTAACAGCTGGTACAATGGGTTATTTGGCACCAGAGTATCTCCAATACGGCACAGCGACTGAGAAAACAGATGCTTTTAGCTACGGAGTGGTGATTTTAGAAGTTGCTTGTGGGAGAAGGCCAATAGATAAAGAACCAGAGAGTCAAAAGACAGTGAATCTAGTGGATTGGGTTTGGAGATTGCACAGTGAAGGAAGAGTTCTTGAAGCTGTGGATGAGAGATTGAAAGGTGAGTTTGATGAAGAAATGATGAAGAAACTGTTGCTTGTGGGTCTTAAATGTGCTCATCCAGATAGTAATGAGAGACCATCAATGAGACGTGTACTTCAGATACTTAACAACGAGGTTGAGCCAAGTCCGGTTCCGAAGATGAAACCTACACTGTCTTTCTCTTGTGGGTTAAGTCTTGATGATATTGTTTCTGAAGATGAAGAAGGAGACAGCATCGTATACGTTGTATCTTAGTATAACCCTTTTAATTCTTTCGTTTTGATAGATATTTTTTTGATTTGATTTGTTTGATTTTGTATAATACTGTGTATGGCCTTTGGTTCAATGAGTTTCTATTGAACGATTAGGTTTATGTTTTCATATAAACCCATCTCAGAATCTAGAACAACAGCTCATTTCTAAATAGGGAAAGATTAACAGAGCAATCAAAAGCCAAAACCCAGTTTTCAAGATCATTAAAGATTTGATAAAAGTTACGTACCTTACTTGCTAGTGAAGAAACCTTGTTGAAGCAATCAGAGTATCTATGAAGATGCATAACATACGCTAATGACACGATCACATAACATGGCGCTATGCACGATGATGGTGGCAGAAGGAAAGAGAGCACACTCCCGACAAGGGCAAAACTATCTTTTTGCTAATCCCAGGTTGTGCTCTCTTTCTTCTGTCAACATTTCTTTATCTTCTTCTCCAGGAGGAATTGAAGAAGAAGAAGAAGAAAAAGAGTTGTGACGTGCGGCGTAAGTAAAGCAGTGACGGTCGCTCTGTGACTATCATTTATAGCGAAGAGGAGTTTACTGGATACAACCGGTGATAAGAGGTGGAGACCGGCTATAGTGTGTGATAGAAAAACGAAGCTGAAAATGGTCCTGAGATTTCTTAGAGTCATGAATCTGGAAGTTTCTACAATATTAGAGATTCTCCCTTTCACTCTCTTACCTTTTCGCTTTCACATTTAATTATATTTTCAATTTTAATTTTTATTAAATTCATATAATACCACTTCAAATAAGTCGAGAGTACTAGATATTTCACTTAAAAAAAAGTTCCAACTTCTTTTTCTAAGTGAGACCAGAAATAATGAATCCAATGTTTTGGTTTTGAAGCTCTTTTTCTTGTTTGTAAAATTGTTTTGAAGCTTTTATATGGTATAATAATTAGTTGCTATATAATAATTTTAAAGTTTCTTGCAATGGTTTTGAGCAAAAGACCTGTAATGGTGATAAATTATTATTGAGGTGGATTAAAATCTCGCACGCGTGAAACTCGGAAGTTGCTATCACCTAAATGAACAAGGCAAAACTTTAAGTCGTCATCGACAGCTCAACTACCCCTACGCTCCTGACGTTAAATCTCAGCCGTCCGTTTGCTTGAGAACTCGCTAGTTACAGGACCCACTAAATTAGGCACGTGTTGATTTAGATTGACACGGTTGAGTATTATAGGCTTGCACCAGTAGGCCCATTTAATATGAAACAGGCCTTTCTAACTTTTGGCCCAATTACGTTTCCAGTTTGTGGCGAGAGAGAGAGAGGAGAAACACAGCGAAGGAGGGGAAGCAGTTTGAATTGACTGAAGAAGCAGCCATGTCAGGTTTCTCGAGCTTAATTTCTTATAGAAACGGAGCAATCTCTCTGTTGCGTCTTAGTTTTTCGAAATTCAGATGTTTCTCTCGAGTAAGGTTTTCTTGTGGTGCTGTAAAACAGTCGATACGAGATGATTATGCTTCTCACGAACCATTTGGTGTCTCTGGTGAGTTTCTCTTCTTTATTTGGTTGCTTCATATTCTTATTGTGTTTCCAGAGTTATTTCAAAATCAATTCAATCTGTACATGTATAGTATATAGCAGGATTCTGATTAGAGGTGTAAAAATTCAAATTTTAGAACTGTAGAGTGGAAATTTTAGTGGATTTTGCTGAAATTTGAGTCCTATAATGTTTTTTTTTCCTGAATATTTTAGATGGGTTTTGCTAAAGATTTGAAATTTTTGGGGGTCTATGAAACAGGATTTGATATGGAGAAGAGCATATATAACATTCTTACCATTGACCGTTGGGGATCTCTAAATCATATGGACTATAGGCAGGCTCGTCTTAGACCAGTTCATGGGAAGCTGGCTTTGAAGTTTCTTAAATGGGTAGTGAAACAGCCTGGTTTGGATACTGACCATATTGTTCAGTTGTTCTGTATTACTACACATATACTTGTTAGAGCGAGAATGTATGACCCTGCAAGGCACATCTTAAAGGAGTTATCTTTGATGAGTGGGAAATCAAGCTTTGTTTTTGGTGCTTTGATGGCCACTTACCGGCTTTGCAATTCAAACCCTTCGGTTTTCGACATCTTGATTAGAGTATATTTGAGAGAAGGAATGATTCAAGATTCTCTGGAAATATTTCGCTTGATGGGTCTTTATGGATTCAACCCGTCTGTATATACTTGTAATGCAATACTAGGTTCCATTGTAAAGAGTTGTGAGGATGTGTCAGTCTGGTCTTTCTTGAAGGAAATGCTGAAAAGGAAGATTTGTCCTGATGTGGCTACCTTCAATATACTAATTAATGTGCTCTGTGCTGAAGGAAGCTTCAAAAAGTCGTCTTATCTAATGCAAAAGATGGAGAAGAGTGGTTATGCGCCAACTATAGTTACATACAATACTGTGTTACATTGGTATTGTAAAAAGGGAAGATTTAAAGCTGCTATTGAGCTTTTAGATCACATGAATTTGAAGGGTGTCAACGCTGATGTCTGTACATATAATATGCTTATCCATGATTTGTGCAGAAGCAATAGAAGTGCCAAAGGTTATTTGTTGCTGAGGGATATGAGGAAGAGGATGATTCACCCCAATGAAGTCACGTACAATACACTTCTTAACGGTTTTTCTAATGAAGGAAAGGTGCTCATTGCTCGTCAACTTTTGAACGAGATGTTAACCTTTGGACTTTCCCCAAATCATGTTACTTTCAATGCTTTGATTGATGGACACATTAGTGAGGGAAACTTTAAAGAGGCTTTGAAGATGTTTCATATGATGGAAGCAAAAGGTCTTATAGGTACTGAAGTTAGCTATGGTGTACTTTTAGATGGGTTGTGCAAGAATGCAGAGTTTGACCTAGCAAGAGGCTTTTACATGAGAATGAAGAGAAATGGGGTCTGTGTTGGGCGAATAACATACACTGGAATGATTGATGGGTTATGCAAAAATGGGTTTTTGGATGAAGCAGTTGTTATGCTTAATGAAATGAGCAAAGATGGTATTGATCCTGATATTGTCACATACTCTGCTCTTATAAATGGATTTTGCAGGGTGGGGAGGTTGAAAACTGCTAAGGAGATAGTATGTAGAATTTACCGAGTTGGTCTTAGTCCAAATGGCATCATCTACTCAACCCTGATATACAATTGTTGCAGGATGGGATGCTTAAAGGAAACAATAAGAATTTATGAAGCTATGATCCTTGAGGGCAATACTCCAGACCATTTCACGTTCAATGTACTTGTTACTTCGCTGTGTAAAGCTGGTAAAGTGGCTGAGGCAGAAGAATTTATGCGTTGCATGACAAGTGATGGTATTCTTCCTAACGCAGTTAGCTTTGATTGTCTTATCAATGGGTATGGAAGCTCAGGTGAAGGGCTAAAAGCGTTCTCTGTATTTGATGAGATGACCAAAGTAGGTCATCACCCAACGTTCTTCACATATGGTAGCCTGCTCAAGGGATTATGCAAAGGTGGGCATTTGATAGCCGCAGAGAAGTTTCTGAAAAGCCTCCAAAATGTCCCTGCAGCTGTTGATACTGTAATGTGCAACACACTAATCACTGCTATGTGTAAATCAGGGAACTTGGACAAGGCTGTCTCACTTTTTGGTGAGATGGTGCAGCGAAGCATTCTGCCTGACAGTTTTACTTATACCAGTCTTATATCTGGGTTATGTAGGAAGGGCAAGACCGTTATTGCCATACTATTTGCTAAGGAAGCTGAGGCTCGAGGTAATTTAGTTCCCAACAAGGTGATGTATACCTGTTTTGTGGATGGTATGTTCAAGGCTGGCCAGTGGAAAGCTGGTTTTTACTTTCGGCAGCAAATGGATAAACTTGGCCTTACCCGTGATGTTGTCACAACAAATGCAATGATTGACGGTTACTCAAGGATGGGGAAAATAGAGAAGACACATGACCTACTTTTTGAGATGGGGAACCAAAATCAAGGTCCTAATCTAACTACCTACAATATTCTTTTGCATGGGTATTCAAAGAGGAAACACGTATCAACAAGCTTTATGCTGTATAGATCCATGATACTGAGCGGCATTTTACCTGACAAGCTCACATGCTATTCTATTATTCTTGGGATTTGTGAATCCAACATGTTGGAGATTGGTCTTAAAATCTTGAAAGCATTCATATGCCGAGGTGTTGAAGTTGACAGGCATACGTTTAACATGCTAATCTCCAAGTGCTGTGCAAATGGAGAGATCAACTGGGCATTTGATATGGTTAATGTCATGACCTCTCTGGGAATCTCCCTTGACAAAAATACTTGTGACGCCATTGTAAGTGTCCTCAACAGGAACCACAGATTCCAGGAGTCTCGCATGGTTTTGCACGAAATGTCGAAGCAAGGGATATCTCCCGAGAGTAGGAAATACATTGGTCTGCTTAACGGTCTCTGTAGAGTGGGAGATATAAAGACTGCGTTTGTGGTGAAGGAAGAGATGATAGCACATAAGATATGTCCGCCTAATGTAGCTGAGAGTGCAATGGTGAGAGCGCTTGCAAAATGCGGTAAGGCTGACGAAGCTTCGCTACTTCTTCGGTCTATGCTGAAAATGAAGTTGGTTCCGACTATTGCTAGTTTCACTACTCTAATGCACTTGTTTTGCAAGAACGGTAATGTTACAGAGGCCCTGGAATTGAGAGTTGTCATGAGCAATTGTGGGCTGAAGCTTGATCTCGTGTCGTACAATGTATTGATTACTGGACTTTGCGCCAAAGGTGATATGGCAATTGCATTTGAACTCTTTGAAGAGATGAAACGAGATGGATTTTTAGCTAATGTGACTACTTACAAAGCTCTCGTCGGTGGAATACTTTCCCAAGGAACCGAATTCTCTGGGACTGATATCATCTTGAAAGATTTACTTGCAAGAGGATTCATAACAGCCATGAGCTTGTCACAAGATAAAACCTTGACAATGGCCATGGAGAAGCTGAAGGCCTTGCAAAGTAACAAGAAGTAATAACATCAGAACAAGCTTAAGAGTAATCATATGATCAACTTCCCTCAGCAAATTAGTGTTAACGCTTATCTCAAGCATCTGTTTCACTGTAGCACGGTTCGTTCTGAATCCTAATATCTGTTACTCTTTCTGAAATCCTTATAAATCCTTACATATTGTATTTTCTGTTTTCCAGATGATATTGCCGTTTTATCACCGTGAAGAGCTGGATGTACAGAGTAATGTTCACTAGAGCCAAACACTCCTTGAACATTGTCTGATTCACAGTATGCGTCTTACTCATTCTTCTCTCTGATTGACAATAAATTACTCATTTCACAATGATTATCTTACTTTCTCTTGTTTCATTGACAGTTCTTGATGTGCGTGCCAGTCAGTTCCAGAAGCTTAAGCTTGTACTGTTATACAGAACAAGACAAGCAGGACAGTGAAGCTGCAACCTTACTGGCTCCTTTCTCTGACAGATACAACTCAAAAACTTCACCAAAGGAGACTGTGATTGAATCTCTTAAACTTCCAGGTGGGTTTATAAACGCTGTCTTTAACTCCACTTGCATTAAAGATCTTGTTTGTTTGTTGTTTCTTACATATTTGACTCTCTGGCCAAGTGTTTCTTTACAGAGACAAAGCAGGAGGATGAACAAGCTCTTAATAGCTGGAACTGTGTTGTCATTTCATGTGCTGAATTCACCTGTAATCAATCTGGACTGACCAAAGATAATGGTTCAGGGAAAAATGATGCAGAGCCATGGAAGCAAAAAAAAAAAGCTTCTTCTGTGTCTTTGAAGAATCTTTTTGATGAATATGTCGGAACAACGAGAAACTAGTTGTTGTGTTGGGATGGTGTCTGATGGATCTTGATGCAGACAGAATCTAACAGTTAGTCAGATTTGCATCACTGGATTTGTTCCATTTTGCAGTACCCACTCGTGAGCCTCCTGTAACACAAATAGTATTATATGTTTAAATGTGTTGATTGTCTGTTAGTCTGCTAACACTTTTATTTTACATCAAATATGTAACATGTTTAAGATCATTATTATATCAAAATCTGGTTACACCTATTAGGAATAAACAAAATACTTTGTACAAAAAATTGTCGCAGCTACTATTCAACAAATTAATTATTAAATTGACCAAATCTGTATTGTTTATTGTTCTAACATACTATACTTAAAGATATAGAAGAACTAAAACATGAATCGAACTAGTGGATTAAGATATAATTAGTTTGGTAAAATTGGTAGATGAGTGACAGATGACATTTTAGATTAAGAATTTTGTCATACAAGAGGAAAAAAAAAAGAAGACAATTATTTACTTAAAAGTAATCATATTTCATCAAACAAATGGGCCACTTGATTAAAGTCTAATCTCTAATTACAATGAACAACTAGTTTCATCATTTGACTAAATCTTTTCAGATTATCTTTTAAAAAAAAAAAAAAAAAACTGAATTTGAAAAAATAAGGTTTAGGCAATTGATATGTGTATGATAATCTATTAAATAAGTAATAAATAAAAAACTTTTTTAGCTGAAAAAAAGAAGAGAATTAATGCAAAAAGACAAAACAGTGCCAGCAAGACACTTGCTTTGCATTGGTCTGAACCAACATATATGCTCTCACAATTAACAGTCGTTAGCCAGCTCATCTTTCCGTTTAAAAAACAAAGAGATACACGTCAGTTGGGACCTCTAACTCCGTTTATATAAACCGTTACAGACACACCGCACCGAGAGAGATAATAAAAGAGAAAGAAGAAGCAAAAAAGAATTTTTAGAATAAAAATCAAAAAAGGAGAGAAAATTAAAAAAGTCTCTCTTTTTCTTTTTTCTTCTCCCAGATTCTCTCTCTCTTGTTCTCCGATCAAAAATATTTTTCTCTCACTTTCCTTGGTTTTCTCGGCGGCTTCTTCTCCTCTATTTCCCCCAAATCGTTTTCTCCATTTTTCTTGGGATAAATCTTCCTCCTTTCTGCAGACGCCATGTCGGTGCGTTTCAATCTCCTCTCTTTTAAGATTTTTATATACATATGCTTGAGAACAGTTTTGAATTCGATTTGTTTGGTTTTCAGAATTTTAGTTTCGTTTTGGTGAGTTAGATGATTCTGTGTTTCATTTTAGTGGAGGGTTTTTGTTATATGAACCTTGTTTGTGGAAATCTTAGATATGAAATTGTGATTCTGATGAGCTATTGTCTTGTTGTTGAATCTGATAATCCTTATTCTGGATCTCGGGTTTTATTTAAGTTTTGAACTTTTTCTGAATTTGATTGATTAAGCTTGATTTTGTTTTTGTTTTTTAGAGGGGTTGATTTTGGTTTTAGCGTAGGTTTTGATTTAAGAGTTTCTGATTTTGGATTTGAGATGAAATAGGGTTGAGAAAGAAAAGTTGTTGTCTTATGTTAGCTTTATCTTTTTTTCTCAGATTGTTCTTTGATTCATTGATAGTGAAAGAGGCATGAATATTGTGTGACATTGTTTATGGACAAGCAAAAGTTCTTTTTGCCTTGTGGATTTGTTTGCTTATTTAGAGACACAATTGAAATCCACTACTTTCAAACTTGGGTTTATTATTTTCTCACCTAATCAAATGGATAATAAAGTTGTTAGGAACTTTTCATTTCTCTTATGGTTTGGTTTTGGTTATCTTTTTGACTTGTGGTGTATATTGTTTGCTAGAAATTGGAAATATGATTAGTTTGGGCAAATTGTACACACCATTTTCTTGATTCTTGATGATGGAAAAGGTTTCATTACTTAAAGTCCCCATTCGTATTTACTCGGTTGATGCTTTTTTCGGTTTATCTTTGCCTCTTCTCTTTTGTGTGTGATCCCACCTAAGACTTGCTTAGCTTACAATGAAGAAAGGCTTATCCTTTATCCTTTCTTTTATCGGATGTTGTTCTTCTTTTTTCAGGAGTTTTGAATTTATACTCATTTTAGATAAGCCATACACTTAAACACATGGGAATAGACAATGAATTCATCTAATTGGCAAGATTGAACTTGTTTATTGATTTCACCATTTGGTTTTATATGAACAACAGGACAAAGGTCGTCCCTTGCCGAAATTTGGTGAATGGGATGTGAATGATCCAGCATCCGCAGAAGGTTTCACAGTGATATTCAACAAAGCTAGGGATGAGAAAAAGACCGGTGGCAAACCCGGATCACCCGGTAAATCCAGTGAGGGTCATGCTAAGTCTGGAGGAGGAGATCCTAGTAAACCTCAGCCTGTAAGTTTCTTCTTCTTCTTCTTCTTCTTCTTCTTCATCTTTTATCTCCCTAAGTTGAAATCTTGATCCATTGTCACACAAAATGGGCTCTTTTCTTTGGTTTCAGAAAAAATGGCTCTGCTGCATGCAATCTCCAGCTGTGGACTCTTGACAGACACAAAGATCTTGACAGACACAAAGATGGATTTGCTTGCTGCCCAAAGAATGTCACAGTGCTTACACATTTTATTGTTTTTCTTGAAATTACCCACACAAAAAAAAAAAAAAGTTCCTAAGATGGTTTGGAGCTTCACCACCTTTAGTATCACGATTATGATTCCTTCTTTGAAGTTGTTTGTTCTTCTTAAAATGCTGTAAAATCGTGTTGCCACTTTATTGGAAAAAAAAAAGGAAGAAAAAAAGAAAAACACAGTTACTGTGTCTATATGTAATGATTCTCTTGGGTCTTTTTGGTTTTTCTTTTATTTTATGGTGTCTTTTTCCTTGATTTTTAAATATATTATCTTGGGCTCAATTTTGTTTTTTTTCTCTTAGTAAAAAAATCAAACAAGTTTCATTATTACATAAGTAGAAAAGATAACTAGTAGTATTTGACTAAAAATTGAAACAAAGTCAGCAGTAATTAATTAAGTAGGTGATAGAAACCAAAAGTCATAAAATCAAAACCATGAAAGATATTTATAAATTTAATTAAAAAGATGAAAACAGCAAACAAGAACTTGATAAATCATAATTGCTGTTACACAAGCTTATACAAAACACACTTGAAGTTGGAAATCTTGATGGGCTTTTACTAAGCCCATACTGGATTATAGCTAAGCCCTTCATCGATAACTGGAGACCGTTCCGTGAACCTGAAAACAAAATGATTTATCTCGTTTTCAATCGAATATAAAATAAATTTGATTTTCGTTTTATTTCGTTCAAACTTCAAAGTGAGAAAATCAGAAAGAGTGCATAAAAGTTTGTGATGATCAAAGCGATCAACTTATATGTACTCAGTTCCCACGGGAAGAATAAATGGGAACAGAAAACTTAAAGGTTTAAAATTTAATGCCTTAATGGTATGCTTCAAAACTCATCTCCAACATTATTGTTTATCTAAAATTTAATGATATGATTCATCTGTATCTACATCACTGACTGTATTTCTGTGCTTACATGTGTATATATATTGCATGTAACTAGTCAGTTAAAAACAATCCAACCGTCACAAGTAAAAGTGAAGAGATGTCGACGTCTGACAAGAAACCGTTGATTCCGTCGTCACATATCAAAAATCAGGTACCTGAATAAATTTTGCCATTATATATGCTAAAAATAAGATAATAGTAGTATTTGTAACTCAATATTGAAAAAGAATCACTTTTTTTGTCATGCTATTGTGAAAACAAGAACTTTATCAAACACAAGTTACTTAGGGCGGTGTATTGGAACTAGGATTTTAGAAAATTTTGGGTTTTTACTAAAATCATCTGTTATTGAATTTGTGATTTTCAATTCTCTTCTCAAATCCAATGTTATTGAAATTGAGATTTCAATAAAATCACTCACAATCTCTTGTTATTCAAACTATAATTTCTAAACTTGATATCAAATCAACTGTTATTGAAAACACAACTTTGTTTTTTTTAAAAAGCCATAACATTGATTTTGGGAGACTTTGGATACAATTTTACATGAGAAATTCAATTAAAGAAATCACACCTTGAGAGGTGTTATTTGGAAAAAACTTCTTTTAACAAAATAAACATAAGAGAAGTTGTCCTTTCACTTTCTCATTCTCATCGTCAAAAGTCAAAACAAATCTGTCACCTTTTTTTTGTTCTTCACTTGCAGAAAAAAAAACAAAAGATTTCAATGGCAAATCAAATTCATTACCAACAAAATCTCTCTCAGTTTCAAGTTTTTAATTTGAAGTCCTAATACAAAAACATAAACTTTTTTTATAACCACAACACACCATGATTTCTTTATCTTTTACCACAAACAACGTTGAACGTGTTGTAGAGAGAATCCAATTTTTCTATTTTTTTGTAAAACAACGTTGCAAAGAGATCCCAAATTTTCTAGACAATGTTGGAGATAAGTTTTTTTTTGTAAATCCAGTTTTCCTATTTTTGTTTTAAAAATCTCACCAAATCATCCAATATTATCTCTTAAATCTCACCAAATAACAAACTAGTATTTCCTTTTCTAAAATGAAAATTCTAACAATTCCACCAAAAGTATCCTAAAAAATCACATAACTTTCTCAAAATCCAAAATTTCCTAAATTCCACCAAATCCACCCAAATCTTTAATTCAATACACCCCCCTTAGTGACATGTATTTTGGAGATTTTGCAAGCCAGCAAAAAATTCATTGAGTTGAAATGTTAATTCGTGTTTGGATTTTAGATTTTTTTTTGTTGTTTTTAATATATTGACAGAGAAATACATATTTTCTATTAAGTTATAATTTCTACAATACTTTTCCGAACATAAGTTTATAGTATCTTTTATATATCGCAAAAATCATAATATTTAACCGCCCTAAAAATTAAGATGCGTATAACATGTTAAATTTTTTGTAAATATAATAAAACAGGATGACATATGTGTGTACTTCCGGATTAAGAGGGACGTTGAGCTTCGTAAGATGATGCATGCATATTCCGCAAAAGTTGGAGTAGAAATGTCTACTCTAAGGTTCCTCTTCGATGGAAATAGGATCAAACTCAATCAAACTCCCAACGAGGTATATATTAATAAAATTACTCCAATAATGTATGAATCAAGTTGATAAATTAACAAAAACGATTGCAGCTTGGGCTTGAGGATGAAGACGAAATCGAAGCATTTGGTGAACAACTAGGAGGGTTCAGCTTCTTTCATCACCATTAAGAGTATATTAACGACATTAAAAGCCGTTAGAACGGCTTACAAAAGATCAATAATGTAGTCTTGTTTTAGTTATTTTCACCTACTTGTTAGTACTACAAAAGTTGGTTATTTATCAATGGTAAAAAGCCTTGTTTGAAAAATCGCTAGGCGCTCGGTATGGGCCTAGCGATTAATCGAAAAATCGGATTAAAATCGGGGATTAGTTTTAGGGTTATTTTAATATTTTAAAAACATATTAATCCAATATTGTTTTCAAATTGCAGTAAACACATAAAACTGTATTTTTGAGATAAATTTTTATGATTTTTATTACAAATTTATGATTTTTATTAAAATTTGAACATAAGTTATTGTAAAACATCACAAACTCCCAATTTAAATGATTGAATAACAAAAATAAAAAGTTTTTTTATATTTGCAATCTAAAAATAATCGGGATATGTAAAATTAGGCGGGAAGTAATCGGATTAGGCGGGAAGTAATCGGATTAGGCGGAGAGTAATCGGATAACTGATTTCTTTAGAGGATTAGTCATTAATCGAGGCGGATAAGGTGGGTCTAGCGATTAAGCGGGGAATAATCGGGTTAGGCGTGAATTTTTAGAACGGGGGTAAAAACAACGCTAAAGTAATTTATGATTGAACATGCTCTTCGATATATATCTATAAGTTATTTGAATGAAGTTTTAGAGATATGAATGGATAATCTAAAATATAAATATTAACCCTATTATAGAAAATGTAATAAATTGACATAGATGGGCATTGTCCTTATATATGATTAAGTCACGAAAGATATAAGAACCAAAGAGGTAATGTTCGTTCGAATGGAAAATTGCATCAAAGAAGAGAGTTAGATATTTTTCTATATTTGTATTAAATGTGATATATACACAAGTACAATTACAAATCATTGTCAATATGATCATCAATATAACATAGAAGCCTTGGCCCATTTTGATTAGTCAAGCTATATAGATAACAAAATGAATATAATCAGAACTATCTTTTTAGCATTACATGTCGTCTAGTTCACGTGCGAAATAGATTTTCATTTGCCCATCAATCTCCACACAATTTTTCCGAATTTGCAGAAAGTTTCTCGTAATTACCTTGACTGGGCCATATCATATGAATTATGCTAGATTATCAATATAACACGTTAACAATTACTTAATCCATCATATTTCCTCACTTAGAACTGAATATAGAAATTATTATAAAAATATATATATTATCTCGAGGTAAGTATGTATTATATGTTAAATGAATTTTTATTAATGACTAATTATGCGCTAACACAAAAGGTTAAAAGGAGAATTAAAAAGTTATTTATTCACCGTCCAAATAAAAAATAAATCAAACAATTAGGTTTATCGGTGACCAATAAAAAGCTGCCATTTGTCAACCAAATACACTTCCCTTTCTTGTCCCTCTCTCCTCTCTGTCTCTTTCTTTCTCTCTCCTCGCCACTGACTTTGCTCTCTCTGATTTACAGAAGAAATTTCAAAACTTTCAAAGCTCAAATCTTTCTTTTGCCCTTCTCGATTATATCCATCGTCGTCGATACCGGAAATTTCTTCATCTGATTAACGTTTTTTTTTTTTTCCCGAATATTTTTTCTCTTCCAGAGAAAAAATAAAAATCGCTCCTTTAGATTATTTCCTTGATTTTCTTGGCGCGGTTTCGATTTCACGTTTCTGGGTTTTCTTCGTCGGCCTATAAGAACGATAAATTTCAAAACCGGAAAGATCCGGTACGAATCGAAATTTTGGTCACCATCGTTGGTTTTGGAGATTTCTTCGTCGGTGGAAGAGACGCTTCTTTATTCTAAGACTAGTCTCTTTGATTTATAGACTCTGTACCAAATCTTGTTGATTGTGTTTAAGCATATCAAATTAAAAGTTACTATCTTTTATTCGTTTAATTAGTTTTTCTTTTAATAACCTGTTCTTAGGGATTTGGTTTATTCCGTGTGTGTTGGTACTGTTTGATTTTGCTTAATTAATGAATTCGAACTGTGTGTGTGTGTCTCTGTATCAGGTAGTGAATCTTGATTTTATAGTCTATATAAAGAAAGAAATGCAAAATGGTTGCTAAGAAGGGACGTAGAGATTCTTCAGACTCTTCTCCGATTGTGGAGGTTGGAGAGATTGACACAAGTGCTCCTTTTCAATCTGTTAAAGATGCGGTTAACCTTTTCGGTGAAGCTGCTTTCTCCGCTGAGAAACCGGTCATTCGGAAACCGAGTCCTCAATCCGCTGAGGTAATTTTGATTTGATTCATTATTGTGTTTTAAGAGGTTTTATAATCTGAATTTGTGTTTTTGGTTTGCAGAAAGTTTTGGTGAAGCAAACAGAGCTTCACTTGGCGCAGAAAGAGTTGAATAAGTTGAAGGAACAGCTTAAGAATGCTGAAACCGTTAGAGAGCAAGCGTTGAGTGAGCTTGAATGGGCTAAAAGAACGGTTGATGAACTTACTCGTAAGCTTGAAGCGGTTAATGAGTCGAGAGATTCTGCAAATAAAGCGACTGAAGCTGCTAAGAGTCAAATCGGAGAAGCGAAACCGGGAAATGTTTCTGTGGCTAGTAGTAGTAGTGATGCTCAGACTCGGGATATGGAAGAGTATGGGGAGGTATGTAAGGAACTTGATACCGCGAAGCAAGAGCTGAGAAAAATCCGTCAGGTTTCGAATGAGATTTTGGAAACAAAGACTGTTGCTTTAAGTAAAGTAGAGGAAGCTAAGGAAGTGAGTAAAGTTCATTCTGAGAAGATTGAGTTGCTTAGAAAAGAAATCGCAACTGTTAATGAATCAGTGGAACAAACGAAGCTTGCATGTTCTCAAGCTCGAAAAGAACAATCTGAGATATTTGCAGAGAAAGAGATTCAGCAGCAATCGTATAAAGCTGGCATGGAAGAATCTGCCAAGAAATCACTTGCTTTGAAGAACGAGTTTGACCCCGAGTTTGCAAAAAAGCTTGAAGTGCAGTTGACTGAGACGTATAATGAGATCGATGAGCTGCAGAAGCAAATGGAGACTGCAAAAGCATCAGATATGGATTCTGTTAATGGTGTGAGTCTGGAGTTGAATGAAGCTAAGGGTTTACTCGAGAAACTTGTGGAAGAAGAGAAGTCTTTGCAAGAGTTAGTGGAATCTCTTAAAGCAGAATTGAAGAATGTGAAGACAGAGCACGACGAAGTTGAAGCGAAGGAGGCTGAAATTGAATCTGTGGCTGGAGATCTTCATTTGAAGCTTAGCAGAAGTAAGAGTGAGCTAGAAGAATGTGTTGCAGAGGAATCTAAAGCAAAGGCTGCTTTGGAAGATATGATGTTAACCATCAATCAGATATCTTCTGAGACTGAAGCGGCTCGACACGAAGCTGAGGAAATGAGAAACAAAGCTGGGGAGTTAATGAAGGAAGCGGAAACTGCGCATCTGGCTCTTGAAGACTCAGAGCTACATCTAAGGGTCGCTTTAGATGAAGCCGAAGAAGCGAAAGCTGCGGAGACAAAGGCACTTGAACAAATAAAGTCAATGTCTGTGAAAACCAACGCTGCACGTAATTCGACTTCATCTGAGTCTGGATCTCAGAGCATCACACTGTCTCAAAAGGAGTTCAAATCACTGAGCAAGAGAGCTGAGGTATTCGATAAGCTAGCAGAAATGAAAGTGGCTGCTGCATTGGCACAGGTGGAAGCAGTGAGAGCTAGCGAAAACGAGACATTGAAGAAGTTAGAGACAACACAAGAGGAGATTAAGAAGCTAAAGAGTGCAACAGAAGAGGCACTGAAGAAAGCAGCTATGGCCGATGCTGCTAAGAAAGCTGTTGAAGGAGAACTCAGGAGATGGCGCGAAAGAGATCAGAAGAAAGCAGAGGAAGCGGCAACAAGGATTCTAGCAGAAGCTGAGATGAATATGGCCAGTGAATCATCACCGCAACAACATTACAAAGCTCCGAAACAGAGACCTGTCCATAACAAACTGGAGAAGACAAAAACATCTGTGGTATCAAAGAAAGTGCTTTTGCCGAATCTAAGTGGAATCTTCAATAGAAAGAAAAATCAAGTGGAATGGGGTTCTCCTTCATATCTCCCTGGAGAGAAACCCTTTTGATGATTTCTTCTTTTTTCAAGAATTGAACTTTTTGTTGTTATGAACAATCCAGAAAGTTGTGTGCTTTTTTGCTAAAAGAAGGTTTGTGGTTTGAGATCAGAAGCAGTTGCAGCTTTGGTCTAACGTGAGAAACTGGTTTATTGCTGTAATTTGGATCAAAGCTATTTAGGTGGTGGTTTTATTTTGGCCCTTTCTTGTGATTGTGAATACTATTTATTTTTTTGTGACTACAAAGAGAACCTGTTGTTACCCAAAAGCAGACTCAAATCAAAGCCATGATGTAAATATTATCGTTTGCAGAGAGATTGAGGGTTGAACTAAGCAAAAGGGATCCGTTCCAAGATAAAACTACTGTCCAATGACCATGGTAATATAGAGGAAGAAAAGAAAAGACTCGGTTCCAAACTACTTAGTCTAGTTTTTGTGGTGGAATAAGGTAATTGTTTTTGAATGTAGGCATCACATCAGTAATGATGGTGGAATCACCCAGATGGACATAGCCGACTTCGTCACCATCAAAGATTGTGACTTGGTTATGGCACAGGCCGGGAAAAGAGCTAGCAGGGACACAGAAAGGTTCAGACTGTGAGAGGAAAATGCAAAGATCTCCAATATCTTGAGTGTAAAGAGCGTTTCCTTGTTCGTCAAGCATGAACACCATTAAAGCTTTTGTTTCCATTTGCGCAATATAACACTGTGAAATATTACAGTTCATATTTCATATCAACTGATCTCAAGTGCTCAAGTAACTTCTTGTTTAGATTCAAAAGCAACATCACACATTAAACATATGAATGATTATATCGCTGCTTAAACATACAAACGAACGTGCTAGTTTGTTCATATTTGGAGGGACCCTGAATGTATAATTTCCATAAAGTACTAATGAATGATTGCTGGGAAAGACAGACTGGTGAGAGATGATAGCAAAGTTTCCTAAAGAGCATATGCATATCAAATTATCAATCTTCCAGAGAATAAAAAAAAAAAACAAATAGATTTGATGTTTAAAGATTTAAAAAGAAAAGACAGACTCTAGACTCAAACTCAGTTCCAAACTAGTTGTCTATATTTTGAGGTGGAATATAGACACCGGTCCCCATTAGAGTAAGATCACCAACGATAGAAGAATCTGCCAGATCATAATATCCGGCTTCGTCCGCATCCATGTATTCAACATTGTTAGGGAAAAACATGCCTGGTAAGGAGCTAAGAGAGACACAAAAAGGTTCAGATTTTGAGAGGAAAATGCATAGATCTCCAATGTCTATAGTGTAAACAGCATTTCCTTCGTCGTCCAGCCTGAACACCATTAAAGCTTTTGTGCTCAATTTCGACATACCTCTCCAGACGGCCTTCCTGTACCACTTAACCAAGAAAGTTTCACCGGTGGTTCTTGACTCCACCAAGTGTTCGCTTTTGTAGCACGAATCCATAATCTCTCGTTTGGTCTTTGTCAGCTTTGGAATGTTTTGGAACCTCAACCTCTGAAACTTGGGATTTTTGTGCTTGTCTGTGTGGAGGTCCCATGATGCAATGAGATGGCCTCCAGATCCGGGGATGCAAAACATGTCATGTTTCTCCGAAAACATGACACGAGAGGAGTAGAAACAAGGGTTTGCGATTCTGACATTGATCCACTCAGAGTTACGTTGAGCCGGTCTGTATTTATGTGTGATTAGGGCTACTCTTACATCTCTCACTTGTATATATAAGTGTAATCCCTCTTGTAATAAAATCATCCAATTCAACATTCTTATATTGAGTTTGGCAATGAGGCAGAGTTACAAGAGGAGGCAGTGGAATGCGTTTCGGTTCTATATCCGATGCAACCGGGTTTAGATCGTCTTGGAGACGAAGTATTCCGTCGTCCTGACTCAAAGTAGCTATCCAGCCATGGGATGACCCGATCGTTAACATTGGATTATCCACCAACTCCAGAGGCACCTTCTTTTCCAAGTAAGTGTAGCGAACTGCGTTAGCATTGGAAATGACGAGTTTTCCGAGATCCGCTCCACATGGAACAGCGTCGATGATGGTACAAGGCGGAGTTTGCCGCAATGAAGATGATAAGCCATTAGAGAGAAGAGGAGAGGATCTTACCAACACAGATTTCCTCCGGAAGCATAGTAGCTTCGAGGGCTGGTTGAGAAGCAGAGACATGTGACTAAAATGCTTTTTCAGAGAAAGCGAGGCTGCAAGAGAGTAAGAAAGGAAAAAAAAACCTAATTGGTGAGATTGATGTTCACAGTAAATACATTTTTTTTTTGGTGTGTCATAGGGAGGCAATGCCTCCCCGAACTTTATTACTAAACTGAAAAAATACAAACTAAATTCGGACATGCCTTGGAAACGCAGTTCCTCGGACATCATCCTCAACAATCGTCGCCACAGAAGGTGGGACAACCTCTAAAAAATGAAAACCTAAAGGTAATGAAAACGCATAGTTAGCTAACCCGTCAGCAAAACGGTTAGCCTCCCTATACACATGAGAAATTCGGACAATCCAGTCCCTTGAAAGAAAGCCATGGCACAACCGCACCAGGAAAGACAACGGGTTCGTCTCGCTAATCCCCTTTGTCAAAAAACCAACCACCACCGCTGAATCCACCTCTAGCTCCACCCTTCTAATGTTCCTCTCCCAAGCAATATATAGCCCATAATATACCCCCCATAATTCAGCTAGAGGGGCTGAACATATACCCACATTTAAGGCAAAGCCACCACACCACCGGCCCGCCCCATCCCGCAACACTCCCCCTGCCGTCGCCAGCCCTGGATTGCCATGTGATCCACCATCCGTATTCAATTTCAGCCATTCCCCCTCCGGAGGCTTCCAAGCAATCATGCTTTCCACCCGTGGTCTCCCTCTGTCTTGTTCTCGGACCAACATATGAGCATGATGAACCTCATTAGCCAAATCTCTTACAAACTTAACCCAGTCCCTACACTTCCCCACCTCCCCAAAGACATATTCACACCGCCATTTCCAACTCCACCACACCACCATAGCAAACATAGTTGACCAAGGGCATCCCGTCTCATCACTCTCGACCCGCAAGTTTTCATAAAGCCACTCCAACAAAGAACATACAAAGAATCTTGACATCTTTCTTCGTGGTACTATCCGTCTCCAAATACCCTCAATAGACGGGCAATCGCGTAAGACATGTAGTATGTTCTCATCTCCACCTCTACAAACTTGACAGACCCTCGTATTACACATATGTCTGCGAAAACGTTCCACATTCGTCATTATAGCTTGATGACCAACCAACCAACCATAAAAAGACTCTAGCCCTCTCAGTCGCTTCCACTTTCCAAATCCGATCAAAGAACCTAGACATTTCTTGTCTCGGAGAATCATTTCTGGTTAACAACTAGTACGCCGACTTCACCGTAAAGGCTCCATCCGCCGTACCACACCAAGACAACCTATCCCGAGCTCCCGTAATGCTATCAAGCACCACCGCCGCCAACTCCAACCGTGTATTGTGCGGTAAGTACGGCATTATACTCTCGAGTTTCCACCCCGAGCCTTCAGCCCAATACTCTGTTACCCGCAGCTCCCTGTCTTCACTAGGTACCTCCCTTATCACTTTCTCCAGTAGCGACTGATCTGAAAGCCACTTATCCTCCCAGAAACGGATTTCCTTACCATCACCTAACACCCACCTACTTCCGCGGATCACCACTTCTCTCAAACCTATAGCCACACTTCTCCATGTTGATGAGGCTGGTTTCTTTTTATCCATCCATCTTGGCTCTTGTAACTCACCAACTTTGTACTTGCTCCTCAAAACCCGAGCCCACAAACTGGTTTTATCATTCAACAGTCGCCACCCGACTTTAGCCACCAATGCTGTGTTCATATGTTTTGAAGACCGGATACCTAGCCCTCCTTCTCGCCTTGGTACACAAACTCTGTCCCAGGCCACTAGATGTTGTTTCCTTCTTTCCGGTGAGCTCTCCCACAGGAATGATCTAGCCAACCTATCAAACCCCTCCAAAGTGGACTGTGGTAGACAAATTACGCTCATTGTATGAACCGGAATAGAAGATAGAACTGACTTGGTTAAGGTCAGTCTCCCCGCAAAACTCAACGTGCGGCTCTTCCATCCGGCCAGTCTTGAGGACACTCTTTCTAAAACTTCTCCAAAAGTATCCTTGTTAATCCTCTTTTGCAGTATGGGCATCCCAAGGTACTTCCCCAGATCTCGAGTTGATTTAATCCCACTCTCGTCGCTAATCAACTTTTCCAAGTCTCTGGAGACATTATTAGAGAAAAATATTTTCGATTTTTCCAAGCTGACTTTCTGTCCCGACGCCACGCAAAACGTCTCCAAGATATTCCTTATAATCCGAATTTGAGCCACCGAAGATTTGCTCACAAAGATCCGATATAATCTTAATATAGAGGAAAGGATTTGCTCACAAAGATCCGATATAATCTTAATTCGATTTCGTTTTAATCACTGTCAAACCCTCCACTAATAATACATATTTAATTTTTAAAACATCACATAAATCTTAGTATATGAAATTTGTTTTTTCAAATTGGTGATTCACATTTTTCTCTCTCACTGTTTGATAAAATAGTATGCGCCAATTTAAATACGAACTATTTTATATGGTGATAATGTTTGATTTGCTTAAAAAGTATTTTGGTTATTGTGTAAATCTCATTAGATACTAGATTGAAAACAATCTCATGAATTTGTTTGTTATAACTAGACGAGCCTGACTATGGATTTGTGAAATTATAAGTTTCTTTGTATTCTCAAGTTGTTTAATATAGAGAAATTGCGTCTAATAAACCCAAATAAAGTTTTTGGGATAAGAATAGCACTCAAAAGTTTATTAGACAAAAATAGCACCTTATTTTTTATTTTTTAAATTAATAAATAATTATAAATAAATACAGAAAATTACAAATTCATCGTTAATGTTTTCCTGCCAAAACAAAATTCCGTCAAAATTTTCCCGCCAACAAAATTTTCTTCAAAATATCCCGCCAAAATATTTTCCGCTCCCGAAAAAAAAAATCGTCAAAATTTTCCCGCCAAAAAAATTTTCGTCCGACTTTCCCGCCAAAAAAAATCCAAGAAATTCAGGAAGGATTCCACGAAATTTAGGAAGGATTTCACGAATCGGGAAACCCTTCCTAAATTACGTGAAATCCTTCCTAAAATTCATGAAT